GCTCCGCAATGCCTTTAACCGGCGCTCAACTCTCACATTGGGCTCTCTGAAGCTAGGTCCTGACTAGGGGTCGCAGCCCAGTAAACCCCTCAGCCGGGGGTCTAAACCAAACGAGGGTGTTCGATACGTGGACGTGTGTTTTGTGCGCGTCACACATTCCGGAGTTCCATTTCCCGTCCCATTATATCCGAAAAAACAAAAGTCCTATGAAGTGAGCGACAGCAATCCTCTGGACTGCCCAGCCTAACTTGGGCTGTCTTCCCACTAAACTAAACAAAAGTCTTGATCCATAGGAGAACTCGATAGCCTCCTGGGATGTCTAGACAGTCCTATTTAGGTACGGCACTAATAACTTCATCGCGGGGGTAGGGGGACTAGAAAAGGTGTCCTAAAATGTGTTGGATGGCCACGCCGGCTGTAAGCTGGCCGTGTCTCATAGACGCAAAATTCGCGATCGAAACACCATGCGAAATGAAACTTCCGTCCCCATCCCCTCCCCCGTAGCTTCCCGAGTGTCTCTGATCACTCTGGCAGCCTGGAATGCTGTTCTGCTAAATGTGCCTGATCACCGCTTAAATTTCAGCAATCAAATGACTCAGCACCCGGAAGAGAAGGGTGCTCCAGGAGACAAAGCCACTGTGAAGACAGTGGTGTCAATTGCTGGACGTCATCCATTTCGCTGCCATGAATGTACTTGACGGCACACGCCACCAAAATCAGGATTGGTTCAACGACAGTGAAGGCAAAATCTGTAATCTGGTCTCCGAAAAGGGCGGGCTGCGTTCAGCCTAAACCAAACGCAGAACCGACGCAAACAAAACGGCCCTTTTCCAACGTCCACGTCTGCAAGAGATACAGCACGATTGAACGGATAGCAGCGATGGAGAAGTACAAAGGTCAGATGGGGTTTTGTAACCCCACCTGAAGTAAACAAACCGCAGCCACCTGTAATAGGGGACTGCTGCCTTCAGGCCGTCTCATGTCCCCTCTCGGTCGATGGCCTGATCCGCGCGGGACTTGACACCATCATGGCGAGAGCTCAAGGTTAACTGAAGCTCCGTCCCTCGGTGATTGGTAGCCTTCGGACAAAGTCCAGGCGCGCGCACCTATGTGTTTTCCATCCGGGGGAGGGGGTGGGGGAGGGGGTAAGAACCTCAACAGCTGTCACTCGACTGAAGATACCACTTGCTGTGATTGCCTGTTGACCTGCGTGCACGCTCTCTCTCTCTCACCCCGGCAAAGGTGTAGGGGCCCTACTTCGGGCACCCGTGGCACTGCTCTGCCTCTCGCGAGAGCCTGCATGTGCCCACCAGTAACAGCCTGGCTTTCGCCCGCTCAAGGCCCTCCAACTGGCCAATCCTCTTCAAGGACGAATCCGACGTGCTCGCGCTCGAGGCGCTGTGATGCATATGTCACTCTCACCCGGGACGTCCCACTCCCGGCGCCGGACGTACCCTCGTTCGGCTGCTCGCTCTCTCCGGCCCCTTCGCCAGTTATTTTGTGCGGAATACCCTACTCTCGCAACTGGCATCCAACTCCTTCTCTTTCTATCGGGGAAAGTCGAAGTGGCTGGGGTCTCACTATGGCTTAAACTGTTGTGACAAAGGTTGCCCAACTAACTGTCCTCCCTGACTTGTGATTTGGCAATCTCAGAGTTGTCGACTTGTACAACCTGCCTCGTCACAATAGGCACTCCAGCTCATTTGTCAGCTCGGTGACCACCGAAGAAATGCGCCCACCGCCATCGAAAATTCCGTCCGACAACCGCTGCGATACATGGCGCTGACAGCGCCAAAGGAATGGCTCTAATCTTGTCTTGTAGTGGCCCAACTCCGGGCGCACGTTGCAAAACTGAGCTTCTCGCGACTACTTGTACGTGCGCACAAATTTCAGTCTGGTTTTTGGCCAATCCTCTTCAAGATTGACTCATACTTGACCTCGCTGAGAGCTCTGAAAGACTGCCCTCCTGTCGGACGTGCGCTCATCCGACTGCCAACTCCTACCAACATCCTCCAAGCCGGCGTCCCATTTCTCCCCTTCCGGTTCGGAACCGGACCTGATGATCGTAGTGGCTTACACTGCCGCGATTGGCTCGGATAAGGTTCAGACGACACATTGCCGGCAGGACATGGCCTACAACAAAGTGAACTGTTGACTGTCCTCAGAATCCTGTCGGTCCCACGGGGTTCTGTCCCGAAACGCTTTGCTGCCCGAGGGGGGATGATAGCTGCCTCCGGTAAGATGTGGTTATGAAGCCGCACCTGATGGACACAATACCGTTAGGGTTATGGGGTCAGAATTAGTAGTTGGGGTTAGGCTCTAGGGTCAGGAATTAGAGTTGGTGGTTAGGGCAACTATTTCCCAACCATTCAAAGTTCAATCGCGCATTCCCAATAGCTTTTCTTTTGCGTACAATTACTTAACCCTGTCGCCTGTGCATTACCCAGCCCCACCTGTAAAAACACCTAGTACCACCGGTCCTGTATTACAGGCGACTGGGTTTGTTTATCTGAAGCTGCCTCGGAAACAGTCTCAGTCTGAAACAATAGGCTTGCATTAGATTGGCTTTTCCAAAGTTGTTCACTGGAAGTATCAGCAGGCGTCTCCATAGAGATCGTCTAATCGGTAAAACGATCCAGCCAGTAGCGTAACTAACGATGAGTGACATGAAAACTAGCTTACAAGGCAAACAATCAGATAGAAACTTGATTTAGTCTGATAAAGGTCCTCATCCCACTAATGAGTGATTTTAAGTAATTCGAGCTCACAGTACTAAGGGGCCTCTCCATTCTCAGCCCCCAGTAGTCGTTCGGTAATGGAGCTCTATGCAACTGACCTCATCAACTTTTGCCCGTGACAGTTTCTAATCGTAATCAACTTTGATGAGTGCTTCAGCTTGTTATCCTGTTTCCCACCGTCAGGAGTTTATACACGCATGCCTGACGGTGAACTATGTCAGGAGTTGTTTTCCGGCCGGGACTCAATACGCCCCCTGACTTCCGTCCAAATATACAATCCCTTCCGCCCGAAGGCCTCTTTATTGAAACGAAAAAAAGTCAGTCATTATAAATTTACTTACACTGATCATTTTCAAAGACCATTTTTTCAATTATTGATGGAAGGAATAATAGTAATAAGCTGTGCAAGCAGGTGACAATTAGGGAAAAATCGGAGCTAGGGGAGTTGACTGTGTGTGGCTTTCAATTCCTTGCCTTTCTCCTCCTCCGCCCCCGCCTCCTCCTGATGCTCCACCCAGTCACGGCAGTGGACACGACGATGACCGCTCAGGTTGCTACGGCAGCGGAAGGACTTCCCGCATCCTGGGTGTTTGCAGACGTAGGGTCTCTTGCCCAGATGCACGTTCATGTGATCTGCCAGACTGGAGGCCTTCAGGAAGGTCTTGTTGCAGCCCTGGAAGGAGCAGGGAAAGACACGACGCATGTGACGGGCAACATGCACCTTCTTATGATTCAGGAGGCTAGACTGCCTCGCGAAGGAGAGCAGACAGCCTGGATGGTTGCATTTGAAGGGCTTCTCACCCGTGTGGACCCGATAGTGATTGGTCAGGTGATATTGATATGGAAAGGCCTTGGTGCAGCCGGGGAAGCAGCATTTAAATCGCACTTGGTGCTCCTCTGGTGCTAGTCGCCTACTTTTGCTGGCAGTACGCCGCGGCAGAGATAGGTCCTCCGCTTCCGTCTGTAGATAATCAGCACAACTAACACCCGGAAGGCAGAACAAAGGATTCCACAGTCTGCCATATCCTGAAGGCGGAGTCAGCTGACTCGAAATGCCAAGATGCGAATAACTGGGAACAGAGATATCATCGCGCTTGAAGTGAGCTTCTTGGGAAGGGAAGGAAATCGGAGTATTGTTAACATCCATTATAGGTGCCTCGTCGTTCTTAATTGTCTCCTCTTTTTCTGTTTTTATTTGAAGATGCGCCTGATGCTGCTGTTGGTGTAGCTGCTGCTGCTGCTGCTCTCTCGGAGATGCGGTCGGGGGTACGGTCACGACCGCAAACCTGAAGAATTCAGATGCCAACTGGGCGAAAGCTGCCGCCACTGCTGTCTGGACGACTCCAGCTGCAAGAAAGGGGAATCGTACGGATGAAATCGGAAGACATATGTCCCCCTCTTCTCCTTTTCTATCCTTAGCGATATCGGTAGTCTGGGTAGCCTCAGCGTCCGACTCCTTCTCCTGTCCCATTTGCATTTTTTTCCCAGCGCGCAGTGGCGCCAAATAATTGACCTCGCGACGTCTCGCTGACTGTCGTCTGTTCAAATTATCGATCCGTCCCACCAGCGCGTCCGTCGATTGTCTGCATCGCAGACAGAAAATGCCATGGGAGGACACCGATTAGACATGGCTTGAAACTATATCACACACGCTACCTAGGGACCGCTGATGAGACTTTCTTGAGGTCAGAATTCGCGCATAGACCTCCGAAAGACTGTTAACGCGGCTGGAGCCCCCAACACAGGGCTAGCGCGTGAAAAGACGTCGTGGAAAGTCGAAAATGCGTGGACAGCCGCCTGATACACCGGCATCTTAGTATTTGGACGGACCAGTAGGAACCAGGGCTGTCTAGTTAATCGGGTTCTGAGCGCTTCATCAGTGTACCCAGACGACATATGACCACATCCTCAAGTCTGCTGGCCCGAGTGAAACACTAGCAAAGAGGGGTAAAGAGTAACTCAAACGGGAAAACGATGAAATTGCGAGCGCTTGCTTGGAACTTCCTTCCTCGTTTCCGTAGGAACAAGTGCCATGAAGCGCCAGTGATAATTCACCTCCCCCCTGTCCGATTGTACTACAGTGAGACAGATGTGCGCAGCACCTGCATTGGCGCGACCAGTTGCCAATCTTCAGAGACTGAGGCTTCCACTGAGCACGGTAAGGCGTTCATGACACTAGTTCACATCGGCCGACAATGGGTGAGCCACAAATTTCCGCTGGAATGTGCATTATTTGAGACGGGCGGAATATGTTGAGCCACGTGCAACATCAATTTGACAGTAGCGTCTAAGCCGAGACTATGTGTACTCAGGGCGTTGCAACCATCAGGCAAAAGCTCGTATTTGTAGTAAAAGGCAGAAGTCACCGGACGGGGGGGTTTATTTTATACAAAAACCTGATTTGTCCTCCCAGGTGGCGGTGGTGTTGGCAAAGCCAGGGCTGGTGTCGTCTGCGTCTAGTCATGCCTGAGCGTCCGTGAGAAAGTGGTGGCGCCTTGTAGGTTTGTGAGGCAATCTGAATTGGTGTGTGTTGCATTAGCCGAGGGGTGGTGCTCATGTGGCTTGTGTTGCATTCACGAGTAGGTGGTGTGTTCATGTGATGCCTGGGCAGCTGGTCGGTCGGGTGGCTGCAGTTCAATGCGCCTGACAGTGTTCGCATGACGCCCCTGGATGCAACGACGCCTTGAACAAGGACGCCAGAGATGGCCGTGATGGCTGTCGGTAAAATGACCCCCCGAGGGCTGTCCAGCGAACCGTGGGCAGTGCCACCACTTCTCGCCAACCACCGATGCAGTTGGTGGAACAGCCGCCGTCGTGCGCCTTCTGTCCATTGGTCAGGCTGTAACAGATAGACACGAGGACCACGGGCAGGCCGATAGTGGCAACTGACTGCGTCTTGGATTGGCAACAACACATTTTTCCGTTGCGAGGGTTAGGCAATCTAGCTGCTAGATAAGTCGAAAAGAGGGGGCGATCTGTTCGTTCGCCAACAATGAGCGCCAGCATATGTTTTTGGGGCATACAGAGTGTCATGGGCGATGCTTAACGCTGTGACGGTACTGTAGAAACAGCGACCCACAATGTTGACACGGTGGCAACGTGTGTGAGAATTTATATAGCAAAGCATTTGTGGCAGTTTGCGTCTCCACGCCCTCCGCCTTTGTCACGCTGCCGTCCTGTCCGCCTCACACTCCGTGTCGATACGCTGCTGGGATGCGCGAGTGCTCGAAGCCAATCAACGCTGTCCCCACTCTGATTGGCTGGCGACGTGGAGAAAACGAAGGGCGCAGACACGCGCTGACAACACCCCGAAGGCGGACACAGACAACAGCTTGCTTGGATCGCGCTCGCGGCGACTGCCTACAGAGCCCTTGTGTACGTACTTCCTCAGGCAGTAAAGGTTGTCCAACTCAAACCGTCTTCCCTGACTTTTGATTAAGAATCTTTATCTTGTCGACCACACAACCTTCGACACATTCACCTCACTGTCTCTCCCCCACATCTACCACGTTTCGTTGATTTGACAAAATCACCACGGCCAGAGACGGCCGTGGGCGCAGTGGCCGACGGGATTAAACAGCCAGACTACGCGTGCCACACACGTCCTAGCCCGTAGCTCCACGAACCTTGGCCTTGATTGGAGGAGGAGGAGGAGGAGGGGGGGACACGGATAATGCACATGTGATACAGCTGCCATAAAGGCGACGTTGTAGTCTGACCTTAATACTGAATAGGACGGAGTTAAGTCACCATTCGATAAGTTTCCATGCTGCAATTGGTAGCGCGTTATGATTGACTCAAAGGGCGTTCAGCAGTTTATGGTGAGGATTGAAGTCCAGAATTTGAACTAAATTGGCCGCAGTTTATCTCATCTCTCGCTCGATTCAAACCGAGCGGGCAGGAGATCGCGCGCGGTTGTTGGCACAGCGTGATGCCTTTTTATAACATGTACTTTGCACAGACTCAGCTTCCAGATAAGTTAGAGTACAAAAGAGGCCATATAAAAAAAGAAGCCACTAACTTCTGGAACTCTTTCCACGGAGAGGGGCAGTTGGCGAGGTTTGGTTCTGCAGCCCCATCTGGGTAATACCACACGGTTAGATTTCTGAAAAAAATAGTAGAGGCGAGTACGCTGACTCTACAAATATCACGTGTTTGCGCCTTCCTTACCATTTCAATCCAGCAAGTGACTGAGCCACGGGGGGGGGGAGTGTTTACACGTCAACCTCGGTTAAACCAGGTACCATTTCGCAGGCGCCCCCCTGTGCGTGCGCCAAGCCCTGCTTTGTCCCTCTTTACTACCTTAATTTAGCGAATGACTAAGTAGGTTTGCTAGTGGGATTGTTCAGACGGATTTGAACTCCATCGGCTCCACTATAGTGGCCGGGTACTGCGAATTTACACGCTGTTCCCTCCGTGGCCTTCCAGTTGCGATTGAACCCTTCTTATGCTCTCAGTCCAGCAAGTGGCAGTCTCGGAGGGAGAGTGTACACGCCACCTTCACTCGCTTCCCTGCACGTGCTTCAAGCTCTGCTAGCGTTTTCTCCCCCTTCCTAATTCGGCAAGTGGCTAAGTTAGGTGTGTGAACTAATTTTGTTTCTAGTAAACTAACCAAATGATATCACTCAAGTAGTCTCCGAACTGGCTTCTCCGTTCACCCTGTAGTTAGGCAATGGCATGGTCCCCACAACGGGGGAGGATACGAATGTGTCTGGCTGGACCATTTTATATATTCCCCGTTTGTCCACGGCATGCGGGCTGCCTGTTAATGTACACTGCCACGACTCCACCAAGCGTTTCATCATTTTAATAATATTACTGAAATGATGTAAATAACCTGCTTATAGTGCTATTTAAAGAACTCAACGTGGACGTAACTCGATGAGTGTTCCAAATCAGCCTTTTTTTCAAAGTCGTCACCTATTTTCCTCTAGATATGTCCAAGTACTGAGATGGACAGTGAAAATTGTGAGAAATGAAGGAAATTATTAATACTGGCATTAAGTCGTCTTAGCAAAAAGTTTATGAACTAGTGGCAAATAAGAAATCCGTATTTACACCTATTTGCAGCACATAATAATATTTTTACTATCGTAGGAAGGTTTCTTCACCGACCGGGTTTAGGGTTGTGCTTGCTCTGCCTTCAGAGGACTTGCCTTGATTAAAGAGGTTTCATAAGAACTCCAAAATGAGATTTTGACAAAATGTGTTTCGAATGACCTGGATACTCGAACCAGGTGACGGGCATTCCTGGGATTCGGAGAAGACGAGACACTTGAAGTAGGCTTATTACACTTGTGCTATTGGTGACGCACGGTTAAAAAGATAGTCGCTCCTGCAGTGTGGTGATCCACAAACATGCTGCAAAATGAGGTTTGATTTGGGAAAAGGCAAAGTCTACGGCGAGAGATGACATCTCTAGAGTGGAGCTACCAGTCGAGTGGCGTCTGTGGAGGAACGACAGTTGACGCACCTAAGAAAACCGCAAGTTGTCGCTTATATCATCACATGAATCAAGCATCGGGGGTGGGGATGGTTGATCTGGGGATAGTGGTGAGGGGGTTGAACATGGTCAGCGTACTTTGACCGGACGCAGACCAGTTAAGAAAAACTAAACCCCTCCCCCTACCCTAAGAAGTATGGTATTTCGTCCACGACTCTCCAGGAGAAACGCCATTGGAGAGGGGGGGCGCTCACCGATCGTTCCTACGGAACTCACTCGTCCCGTTGTGCCTTACGGGCTCTCTCTCTCTCGAGCCCAACCAGCAGCCGCACAGCAGTACAGTGATATAGGCAGAATGGCATTACCGACAAAGACAAGGGAGACTGGAATGGCCACTTCTGGCTTATTAGTCGTCGTCAGCCGGCCGTACCCAACCCCGAAGTGTGCAACACCCGAGCCTCGAACTCGCGACCTGTCGTTTAGAAGTCCACGCCCCTGACCACTGGGCCACGAGCGCGTTGTCTTGTCGGTTTTCGATCGGGAATATACAATGGTAGGGGGACGCTCACCGATCGTTCCTACGGAACTCACTCGTTCCGTTGTGCCTTATAGGCTCTCTCTCGAGCCCAACCAGCAGCCGCACAGCGGCGCAGGTTGGGAGGAAGGATTATCTGCACGTTAGATGGATTACAATGGCGGAACAAGCACGGAATCTGTCCAACATTCCCTTCCTACGCCTGTTATGCCTAGGCGGCAAGCAAAAGTAAGGACGACTGGAGATGGCATGGGCATTGTGATTAAATTCCCATCATGCGTGTGCCACGGAATTGCAGGTTCGCTTTAATAGCACGCACTAGAATTAACGAATGGGCAGCTAGATCTCCCTTTTCAAGAAAATCGCCATAAAACTCACACCAAAGAGCATTTGCGGTGTGACCTTCAGTCCAGAGGAAGGTCGTGTTACCCCGTCGGTTGGCAGTCTTCTAAGCCATTGGCTCTGGAAAGATATCACTACAAACGACTGGGTA